GGCAATGATTTCCACATATGATATATTTTTTTTTTCATACTCGTTGTAGTCACGACACTTTGTTTGGGAATACGGACCATATGTTGTACGGCTTACTGGTCTTCCTTGGGCTCGGWCTTGTTCAACAAAATACTCGTTATTGACATAATTTTTTTTTGATATAGGAATTATTCCGTATTGCTGAGGTGAAACATCCCTCATATACCCTTCTTTTTTTACTATAACTCGATGTGGATACGTAGCAAAAGACGACATGTTGCCTTGACGTGGTTTTTTTTGATCTGAGCTTGTTTATGTAACGTTTTGATATTTATGAACAGTGGGGTTCATTATTTACGAATATTACGCTCTATTAGCCACATCAGCCGTTAGACACTCAGTCCCATATRCATGTTTTTTTTTGACAGCGTCAAGTGTGATGTCATTTATGTCTCATTGACTTTATTGTAAACATCAGGATGTGGTATTGGGCTTCCTGTGTATTATCACGATTCTTGTTTTGTCTTTTTTTACACTCTACTACAGACACACGCAATATCCATGTTTGATGTGAGCAGAAAATATTACTCAACGTACTTTTTTTGTCATAAAATAATCTTTTAGTTAATCTTTTGATTTGACTTGTGTTTAGACATTTGCTCATGGATTGATGAATGATTGTAAAAGCCATGTTATCTCTAACTCATCTTCAAGAACTGCTCGGTCAATCCAATAAAATATTAGAAAATAGAAAAAAAAAATGAAATCGAAATATATAATTTTTTTTCGGTAGTATTCATTTTCTTTTCTTTTTTTGAACTAAAATAAATATGAACATACATTTTTTTACATTTAATTGTTTATTTACATTTTTTTTTACATTATTTACACATCAACGCTTATTTTTTTAAAGTCAAACCTATAAATCATTTATCACACTTTCAGCGGTTGTTACTTTGTTTTTTTTTTTCGAAAATACATGAATATGTTCCTAAGAGTGTCTTTCGTTCGTTTCCTAAAAGATTTTTTTTTTCTGTAGTAAAGAACAGGATTTATAAACAGTTTAAGAAAGCTAACATAGTACTTTTTTTTCGTATGATATAATCTACCGTAAAGCTAACATCTGGCTGGTATATAAGAGTGACTTTTTTTTACAATACTAGCACTAAATAAGGGATTATAAAAACTGTTATCACCTCTAGTACTATTTTTTTTGACTTTACTTGGTACACCCAAGTAATTGAGTTTGATTTCTGTTTCTTTGCTTGGAAAACCGACCATAAAATGATGATTGCAAAACACGACGAGAGTACAAGAGGAATAGTGTAATTTTTTTGCGAGAATACACCATAAACTAAAGCTATCTCTAATTTAGATAAATCGTATCTACTTTTTTTTGTATAATACTCGTCACTTGTGTCYATTCTTACTGAAATTACAAAGAGTAACATTTTTTTTGAAGCTAGGAAAGCCTCGACCCAGGTAATCCACAGCACCCTCATGACAGCGGAGTTTTTTTGGATACGTGTAGCGTGGAATATACTGCAGTATTGTTCGATTGAGAGAAGTAGAATTTTTTTAAGTGTGATGAGCACACAGAATACATACACCACGCCTACTATTTTACACGGCCATTTTTTTTGAAAGACATCAAACATGATATGCACTGCAAGGATGGGTAATCCTACTACTGCATTTTTTTTATCACCCACCGATAGACTAACTATGAGATAGGGGGCTACATTTCTTGTCGGACTTTTTTTCTTAATGGTCTTCTTTTCTTTTAAGTCTTTGATTTTAAAGTACAGCGCTAAAACTTTTTTTAGGAATCCAACAACGCCCACTGCAAGTGACGAGGAGGCCATTGCGATTTTGATATTTTTTTCAACTGGCACAAAAATGTATCTTTTCACCGTCGAGTTATGGTTTATCAGGGAGATTTTTTTCGACCGGTTCATTCTGCCTATGTATCTGTTAAAAAACAAGAAAACACTTGAAAATTTTTTTTTAAACCAGAGGTTTTCATTTTGGCTTCAAATACATCTCTCGATATGTTGCGCATTTTTTTGGCGTTTTGCGCTAGCACAGTTRCTTACTAAAAGTCTAAAGCATGAGACAAAAATTTTTTTAACTTTTCCTTACTTTGTTCGCTAAACTTTCGCTGCTGTTAAGCCGTGGAGTGCTTTTTTTGCGTTTCATACAGGGCTGGTTATCAGTGAACTTGTGTTGAATTTGAATAAAATTTTTTTTTTTTTTTTTTCAGGATGTAAAGAAAGTCTACTTGTATATGTGACGTACCTCTTTTTTTTTTTCTTTTTCGTTTTATCCTGTTTTTATCGTTGCGAACAAGAGATGAAATTAGCATTTTTTTTTGCTAATTAATTAGAAAAAACGGCCCTACGAAAAATGTTTAAATATTTTAAAGCTTTTTTTTAGGATTTTGTTTTTCTTAATCTTTCAAGGATTTGATTTAAGATTTTATTTTCTCTTTTTTTTTGCAGTATTTACTAGTAAAATACAAATTCATGCCATCCAAAGGGAGGAGTTTCTTTTTTTGGTATTTCCT